AAAGCCCCAGTAGATAGTTGTATGTCATAGCTGCACATCCTTCTAGTTGCTGTATGTGGGACGCGGCCTCAGCATGGCCGGAGAAGCGGTGCGTCGGTGCACGCCCGGGGTCCGAACCCTGGCCGCCAGCAGCGGAGTGCGTACACCTAACCGCTAAGCCATGGGACCGGCCCCTGGGTACCTCCAGTTTCAATCCACCACCACAGGATTTGTTCTAGTTTTCCCATTTCCATCCTTGTAACTAAGTTCTCCCACAGTGAGAAGCCTGGCTCCGCTTATGCTTAATATATTTATTTGTTGATCACTTCTCCTGTATGTAACCAATCTCTTTTTTCCACTGCTGCCTCCTCCCTCACATGGAAGCCTTCCTCCCCCTGCTTGGGCTTTAACTCTCCTTGTTGAGTTCCCGCGTAGATTCCCTTCCCTACCTGCTGGGGCTCTGACGTCCTGTGCTGCCTCTCTTCCCCACCCACGCTTGAACGCTCTCTTCAGTCTTTCTGGTTCTAACACACTGCAGTTGGCCACCCCTCCATATGAGTGCTCTTTTTATTCTGCTTGCGACAGCCTGCTCTGTACCCCCTCTCCTCTGGCCCTACAATTTGGATATATTCCTCAGCCTGCTTTGCTTCTGTCCCTCTGCCCTGGACAGCTTTTGTATGTGGACACACTCCTAACCCTGCTTATGCTCTAACCACCCCGCCTCACCACCCTACCTGGGCGCCCTCCTCGTCTTGGTCAGGCTCGAACACGATGCACGTGGACAGCTTCCCTGGGCTGATGCCCTCTTCACCCTACTTGGACTCTGATTCCCTGTGCTGGGCCACCACAACTCCCTCTCATTTCTGGCCTGGATGCCTCCCATGTTCTGCCCTACTAAGGGCTTTTGGTCTGAATTGTTCAGTAAGGAAAGGAAAAGGCAGTTTTGCTTTTCTTTTTAATTTGATATGAATGAAATCATAGTTTATGTGTTCTACTACAACTTTTCTTTTTTGCTCAGTATTACGTTCTTGAGACTCATCCATGTTGATGTGTGTAGCTGTAGCTCATTTATTTTCATTACTATAATCCATTATATGAAAATAATTATCCAGACTATTTTTGTTGGTAATGGTCCAGGTTTATATTTGTTTATATGGATGTATCAGTCAGCATTGTTCAGTAAACAAAACAGTCACAAAAAACCTCATGGCATAGAATAATAAGTATTTATTTCTCATGTGTCAGCTGGTATGGCTTTGCTGATCTCATCTGGGCTCATTCATACGTGTGCAGGTCATCTAGGGGAGCTCTGATTTAAGCTGCAGGTCCATAAGTCTAGGTCTGCTCCTTAAGTCTCTCATCTTTCTTGAATCGGCAAACTCCTGGCCATGTTGTTCTCCTGGCAAGGGCGGAGGCACAGGAGGCTGGTCCCACCAAGCAAGCACTTACTTGTATCACTCTGCTAACATCCCATTGGCCAGAGCAAGTCACATGGCCAAGCAGATTGCCCTGTTTGTGGAAAAGACTATACTTATACTTTCCTAACCCAGTTGCTGTGGCATCTTTTTCTAAATCACATCATCTGTTCTGGACTCTTCATTCTCTTTGATTCATCTGTCTATCTTTCCTTTTGCCAACTCCACATTTTCTTAATTATTGTTACTTTATAAATTTCATAATTTATAAATTAAATTATTGCTTTTTTTCCCTTGCTTATTTTGTCAGTTACCTAGAGTTGTGCTAAAATCTCCAGCTATGATTGTTGATTTGTCTATTTCTCCTTTCTTTCTGACAACATTTACTTTATATATGTAAAAGCTTTTAATAAGGTTCGTACACAGATAAAATTGTTGTGTTTTTTCTGATTAATTGACCTTTTTAGCACTAAGATACATCCCTTTTAATCCCTAATAATTTTGTGTTGAAATTTACTTTGCCTGATATAGTCACTCCGGCTTCCTTATGATTAGTGCTTGCATGATATATCTCTCTCCTTTCCTTTTGATTTCAACTTAGCTATATATTTATCTGTATCTGTATATTTAAAGGTGTTTCTAGGCTAACAGTCTGTTCTGCTTCCTGTTTTGTGTTTTTGGCTACCATCTACCAAGTGCTTTCTGTGTGTTTGGCTTTCTTTGAGGCCTTTCACTTATATTATTGCTAAATGTCAAAACCACCCTAGAGGGCCAGCCCCGTGGCTTAGCGGTTAAGTGCGCACACTCTGCTACTGGCGGCCCAGGTTTGGATTCCGGGCACGCACCGACGCGCCGCTTCTCTGGCCATGCTGAGGCCGCGTCCCACATACAGCAACTAGAAGGATGTGCAACTATGACATACAACTATCTACTGGGGATTTGGGGGAAAAAAAAGGAGGAGGATTGGCAATAGATGTTAGCTCAGAGCCGGTCTTCCTCAGCAAAAAGAGGAGGATTAGCATGGATGTTAGCTCAGGGCTGATCTTCCTCACACACACACACAAAAAAAACCACCCTAGACAGCTAGAATAATAGAACTGATTATCATCATAATAGAAGAAGCATATGTTTAAAATGGTGCCCTGGAAGGTTTTCTGTGACCCAGATTCCTTTCACATGAAAGGAGGGCAAACTAAACATGTGGAAAATGGAAGAAGGGATTTGTTATTCTAGTCCAGGTTTGTTTCTTTTTAGAGAAATAAAATATTTTAATCTCAACTTCTTTGTCTAGAAAAATATTTCTGACATTTTCAATAACAAATAGCTACCTAGATTTTTTTTTCCTGAATGATCAAAGCATTTAAGAAACTGTGGCCAACAGTATCTATTAAGTGAAGATTGATCAGGCTTTGTTTTTGCATTGGAACGTTTAGTCCACTTTTTTCAGTGATATATGATATCCCGAACTAGTTGGGTTTAAGGCTACCATCTTGCTGTTTGTTTTCTCTTTACCCCATGGCTTTTTATTCTTTATTCCTCCTTCTTGCCTCCTTTTGAGCTTTATAGTGTTGGTATTTATTATTTTTTTATCCTCGTAAAGTTTTTTAGATTTACATTTCTTTATTCTCTTAATGGTGTTGTAGAGATGACAGTATACATTTTTAATTTTGACTGCACAGTTCCTTTCATCTTTACTGTTTTCTTACTTTTTATATTCTTTGCCATAAGTGTTAGCCTGTAGTTATCCAATTTTTGGTACCCAAATTAAATACACTGGACCATGTCCTAGACTTTTTTGGTAACCTGCATAGGTTTAATAGAGTGGCAGTTAGTGAATTTTAGTGAATTGATTGAATAGGAGAATTCTGTCTTTGGTGGTATGCCATATTGCATTAATTCTGAGTTGCACATTTTTCATATTTTAGCATCTCTGAAATGGGGATGCATCCTATAGTCCATTGTTGGCCATATGGCAATCACGACACAATTATCTTTGCCTTAGCATCTGCCTTAAAGCGTGCAGAACGAGTGTCAGCAGAACAAAAAAATCCTGGAGACGGTAGTGGAGCACTTTTTAAAAGAAATTCTATATCACCAACACACCTGATGATACAGAGGGTGGTATTATGTGGGAAAACGTGTACATTAATGACCGAATCAAAAGTGATTCAACAGATCTGAGTCTGTACAATATTCAAGTATTAGGATTGACTTAACCATTTTATTCTACTTATATTATGGAAGCACATGAGTGATTTGATAAATCTTATGTGAAATTAAGTTAAAAGTGTTCTTTCAGGGGCTGGCCCAGTGGTGTAGTGGTTAAGTTCGTGTGCTCTGCTCCGGCAGCCTGGGGTTCGCAGATTTGGATCCCGGGTGCGGATCTAAGCCATGCTGTGGCAGTGTCCCACATATAAAGTAGAGGAAGATGGGCACAGATGTTAGTTCAGGGCCAATCTTCCTCAGCAAAAAAAAAAAAAAGAAAAGAAAAGTTTTCTTTCAATAAATATGAAAATTCTGAGTGTTAAGAAAAAATGATGTGTCAAAATCAGTAGCATCTTAGTTTTGATGAATTACATATGCACTCTCCCTTTCTAAATACACACACACATACTTAGGTGAACGTAACTTTGAGCTACCTTCAAGATTGGAATGATATTAGATTGTAGTGTTCATTATAGTAACTGAAATTCTACCTGCACTGAGTTAAGAATTTTCCTAATTGGATTTGAAGCACAGCATGACCTGGTATTTAAGACATGCAATCTGTTTCTGTAGGATTACTGGTTGGACCATTTCTAATCCATTTGGAGCTAGATATGTAGATATATAAACTTTCTGTTATAGAAACTTTTAGATATATACAAAAGCAAAGAGAAGATATAATATGATCCATTACTTAGTTTCCACTGAACTATTTTTAAGCAAATCCCAGACTTCATAAAGTTTCACATGTAAATATTTCAGTATGTCTCTAAAAGATAAGTACTCTTTAAAAATGTAACCATAATACCTTTGTCACACCTAAGATAATTAATGGTAATTCCTTACTATTATCAAGAGTCAAGCTTTAAAAGATAGCCCAAGTGATCAGTTCTGTCATCATAATTTGACTGTTGTGTGTATTAACATAGCCAGATATCTTCACAAGTTATTACCTTAAATTATCTAATTCAAGTTTTCATAAAATTATATTAATAGTTTATGCTATTTTACAGGATAAGCCACATCAAAGACTTCATTGAAAAATACCAAGGATCTCAAAGAAGTCCTCCCTTTTCTCTGGCAACGGCTCTTCCTTTCCTCAAATTGCTAGATGAAACACTCACATTGGAAGAAGCAGATTTACAGAATGCTGTAATCATTCAGAGACTCCAAAAAACTGCTGAACCTTTTAGAGAACTCTCATAACGTTGATTTTTGATACACTAAATCAAAAATGGAAAGTTTGTAGAAAAATGATGGTTTTAAGTGGACGTGCAAACCAGAATGGGGGAAAGGAAAAGTCAGATTCACTGGATTTTTGGTTTGAGTACTATTTACCTCCCTCCTGATGAGAAGGTTTTTAAATAAGTACAAGTTAGGAAAATTTACGACTATAACTGGAAACTGTATTCAATGCACTTTTTCCAAAAGGCTACTCAGAAAGAAAAATATACTTATTTTCAAATACCAATTATTCAACATAAGATATATTAAATATCTATATCATTTAGAATCTTAGTATGGTATAAACTAGCAAATATGTTCACAGCATCATTCATTCAAACATCATTTCCAAACTGATTTACTTAAATCTTAGCTGTCTCAGATTTTTTAAATAGCAATACATTTAAAAATTATATATGGCAGGTTAAAAGCATCAGTGTACTTATTTCAAACCTGGGTTACAATCAAAAGGCTGAAGGAACTGCTTTCACCACAGCTGTGCCTAAACCTCAACGTGTTCTCAATTTGTATTCTCTAATGGCAAAATATACTCAAATGTTAATTTGGCAATAGTAGCTAAGATGCATTTTCATTTAAGAATAAAATTGTGTAGCTTAGTGTAAAGTCAGTGTTAATCTGCATACTCATAGTTGTACATTTTCAAAAAATTCTTTTCTCTCTAAGAACGCCAGTTCCTCCCCTGTTTTTTTTTCTTTTGAAAATTAGGTATTTGTTCTTAGCTAATATTTGGAGTAAACCATTTGTGTGCCACCACTCACTTAGAATTTGATGCTGTGTTGTCACATTACTAATTAATATTTTTAAAATTTGTCACTGTAAAGTATGGTTTTCTATTCCATATATCAGAGGCAACCTGTGAATACATTAGAGGATTATTTATCACATTCTGATGTCACCAAGGAAAACATGCTTTGTATCTTAAAACTTTTAACTAAAACTCGTTAGACTTCAGTGTTTCACTGTCAGATTAAATTCCCTTGCCTGAAAATAAGTTTAAGAAGGCTGTTTACAAATGATCTGTTGAATCATGTTTAAAGTGAAATACACATCGAGTGTGCCAAGGAACTAAGTGGCCGTGCCTATCACCAGTGATGTTCATAGGGTACTGGATGTCGGCTGGAAAGAGCACCTCTCAGACTTTCTGGTCTCAAGACCGTTTGTTTATGTGGGTTATATTTATTGTATTAAAAATAAAAATTAAAAGTTATAAAATATTTATTCATTAGAAAATAATAAACACATGTTAATATAAACATTTTTATGAAAAATGTGTATTTTCCAAAACAAGAAGATTTAGTGAGAAAGGTGGCATTGTATTCCATTTTTTGCAAACATCTTTGCTGACTTAAGACAGATGGAATCTCATATCTGCTTCTACATTCAATCTGTTGTGATATCACACATCTTGTAGCTCTATTAAATGCTACTGTATGTTCATGAGAAAATGAAAAAAAAAAACAAATAACATGTTAGTATGATTATGAAAATAGTTTTGACCTTGTGGACCCCCTGAAAGAACCATTCTTATAAAGCAGTGGTTTGCAGTGATCTCAAGCCTTAGTCTAAGAATCACTTGGGAAGCTTTTCAGAATGCCTGCCTCTTCCTGCCACCTACCACACACGATCTGATTCATTGTATTTGAGATGGGTCGCAGGTCTCTGCATTTTTCATATCAAATGATTCTTAGTTATGTAGTAGAAGAACCAGTCTTTGGGAAATCTTGCACTAAGCTTCCACCCTAAGAAAATAAAACCTGCACGCTTCACCTCCCACACGGGAAGACTCGACTCTGAAATGGGGCTGCTAGACCCCTAAATTTCATCTTTGTCCCTCCCAGTTTGTTCTTTGACTGTTCTCCTTTAACTCAGAACTAATCATGGCATAAACCTATGCTTTATCTTCTATGAGCACAGCTGAGACGATGCTGAAACATTTAAATAAGGTTTTTATTAAAGACTCAGGAATAGCAAGGGAAATACGTAACTAGATGACCTGGTTTATAAGATACATCTTCTGTTAGAGGTCCATTTCCGTTTTAAGAATGCTTCATTTTCTAGCTCCCAGCCTTCCACATGGTAGAGGCCTGTCTTTTTATTAGGAAGAGAGGGAGGACAAAGGAGAGCCTTTTCCTTTTGTCCTTTACTCTCAGAAATGAACAGATATATAATAGCAAATAAATATTTATTGTCAGTAATATTTACAGCTGTGGTAGAGCCCTCTCTAGTGAAACAAAAATAATGGCATTCTTACAAAAAATGAGAAGATGGTCAAATCAGTGAACTACACTTTCAGATATAAAATAGGATGATAATGTATTTTCAAGAATCTGTAAGAAAATGTTTCATATAGGCCTATCATGAAACCTTTTATAATTTTCATTTGCATAATTAGAGTCAATAAGTGATTCTCCATATATTTAGATAAAGGGGGCTCTGGGAAATAATTTTCTTGTACCTATAGAAAAGCCTCCTTTGTGGATTTTCCATTTTATAATTATTTAACCAGTAGACACATTGGAGGTTTTCTTGTGTGTACAGTAGAATACACCCCAGTGAGAGGTTCCTATGGGGAAAGACCTGTCATCAGCAATAACCTTCATTTTTGTAACTGTGAAAACTTTCATTAATGTGAGTAATATTCTCAGAGGTTTTCTAAAATGAGAATCATCTGATGAAGCTTTTTACCTGAAAGTTTAAAATTGTAAAGTTGTTAATTAAATGTGTAGAATACTCAAAAACATGTTGACTTTAGAAAACATAAACTGAATTTGGCAAGAGAAGGCAAACTGGAAAATGAGCAAGCATCTTAGGTGTGGAATACAATTTGACCTAAGTTGTTTCAAAACTGTCATTTATCAGTTTCTTGAAAATCATTGTTAGGGCTGATGTATAGAAGTACATTTCTAATTTTACAGATTTTAATTTATTGGTGAAATTACTATGCCTTATCCGAGTTATAAAAGTGATCTTATTTATTTTGTATATTTCTCTCATTCAGAATATTTTTCGTTATGTTTCATTGTGTTGAAAATATGTATGCATCTATTTCAGTGCCTTATAAGTATTTTAAAAGCAATCTTTTGCTAATGGTTAAAGAACTGTTGTCTTAAGGATGAAATACTATTCATTAAAAGGATCTGGGAAATAATTTACACTTGTTTGTTATAAACTAGTTACATATGGATGCTTTTGTCATTTTTATTTGGCAAAGTCATTCAGTTTGAGAATCAAACATTTATTAGGTGCCTTCTGTTTGCCAGATACTTTAACCAATGTTACTTTCATTTAATACTCAGAAATGTTAAAATGTGATATTTTTAATACTAAGTCAATGGTTATATTTATTTTTTGAAACCATCCTTTTTGTCCTGAGTTGAAGACTCCTTGGTAGGGTTTACTCCTTTGTTCTTTCTCTTTCTAAGTATAAATGATGTAATTAAAAAACTGGTCATAACACTAAATCTTCAAATAGAAGTGACTTATTCAGTAGACTGATATTTGGCTCTGTCATTTGTTTTAAATGTATTTTTTTGCACAGATAATTCATATTCATTGTAGAAAATTATAAAATGCAGATATGGTAAAATGATCATTAAATCACCCATTATTCCACCATTCAAAGATAACCACTAATAACATTTTGGTGTGCATCCTTGCAGATATTTTTAAGTGTATCGGTCTTTAGTTTTGTTTTAATTAAAAGGCAGGCTTCTTGTAATCCTGCTGTTTTATCTATTGAAATCTAGCTTATTTGTCTTTAACTAAAAGTTGCATTATGGACATACCATTACTTTAAATAGAATAATAGCTGTTAGGAACAAATGCCTTTTATTTTAATTATATTCTTGTGCAACAAAAAAAAATGGAGATTTTTTTTTACCCACTTCCTTTCAAAATTAAAATTGTGGTAATATATGCAACAAAGTACAGTTATTAGGAATGAAGTGTTTCCAAACCTACTAAAAATGCATATAAAATGATATATTTTAAAGTAGATTATCCAAAGAAACTTCAGCTTGAGTTTATGTTTAGTTTCCAAGAAATTAAATATTTAGCACATGCATTATCTAATTATCTACTGTTGATAGGGCTGCATTCAAGGAAACAGAAGGTATCCGTTTGGTATATTAAAGAATTGAGGCATATTTCACAATATACACAAATGTCGAATCATTACATTGTATACCTGAAACTTAATGTTATGTCAGTTACATTAAATAATTGTCAACCTCAATTTTAAAAAAAGAATTGAGGCATAGAAAATGGAATGACTTGCTTTAGACTGGATAGTATATACTTTAGGATTATATTTAGCTGTGAAAATCCAAAATAATAGTGACTTACGAAATAAGATTTTATTTATTTCCCATGCAAAACTTTGCAGGGAAAGTTTGGGGCTGGTAGAGCAACTTCATGAAATCATCAGACTCCTTTTTCTTTTTTTTTTTTTTTTTGCGAGGAAGATCAGCCCTGAGCTAACATCCGTGCCCATCTTCCTCTACTTTATATGGGACACCGCCACAGCATGGCTTGACAAGTGGTGCGTCGGTGCGCACCCAGGATCCAAACCTGTGAACCCCAGGCCTGCAAAGCAGAGCGCGCACGCTTGACTGCTGCGCCACCGGGCTGGCCCCATCAGACTCCTGTATTGTTAATTTGCCAGCCTCGGCTAGAGCTAACTGGAGATCTCAAGATAGCTGCACCAGCATCAGCCATTGTATTTACATTTCAACCAGTAGGAAGAAGCACACCCCTTTCCTTTAAAAAAAACAGAAAACTTTATTGAGGTGTAATTCACATACCTTACAATTCACCCATTTAAAGTGTACAGTTCAATGGTTTTTAGTATATTCATAGGATTGTGCAATCATCACCACAATCTAATTTTAAAACACTTTCATCCCCTCTGAAAGAAACCCCATGCCCATTAGCAGTCATTCTCCACCCTCAGTTCTAGGCAACCGCAGTTCCACAATCTGTCTATAAATCTATCTATTCTGGACATTTCATATAAATGGAATCATACAATACATGGTCGTTTGTGACTGGCATCTTTTCACTTAATGTTTTCAAGGTTCATCCATGTCCTTTTTGTTGTTGAGTAATAGTCCATTGTATGGATATACCTACTATGTTTTATTTATCCATCAGTTGATGGACATTTGTGTTGTTTCCACTTTTTGGCTATTATAAATAATAGCGTGATGAACATTTGTTTTCAAGTTTTTGTGTGAACATGTTTCCTCTAGGGTATATACTTAGGAGTGGAATTGCTGGGTCATATGCTAATTCCATGTTTAACTTTTTGAAGAACTGCCCAAGTTTTCTAAACCATTTCCAAATGCACCAGTTTACATGCCCACCAGCAATGTCTGGTTTCTCCACTTCCTCCCCAACGCTTCTTATTGTCTGTCTTCTTAATTATAGCCATGCTAGTGGAGTGGTGTCTTGTGGTTTTGTGTTTCCCTAATGACATGAGCATCTTTTCATGTGCTTGTTGTCCATTTGTCTATATTTGGAGAAATATCTATTGAAATCCTTTGCCCATCTTTAAATTGGGTTGTCTATTGTTGAGTTATGAGTTCTTTTTTTTTTTTTTTTAAAGATTTTATTTATTTATTTTTCCCCCCAAAGCCCCAGTAGATAGTTGTATGTCATAGCTGCACATGCTTCCAGTTGCTGTATGTGGGACTCGGCCTCAGGATGGAGGGAGAAGTGGTGCCTCGGTGCGCGCCCGGGATCTGAACCCGGGCCATCAGCATCGGAGCGCGTGCACTTAACCACCAAGCCACGGGGCCGGCCCAAGAGTTCTTTATATATTCCAATACAAGTCCTTACAATTTGCAAATATTTCTCCCATTCTGTGGCTTGTCTTTTTCACTTGTTGGTTTGCTGCACAAAGTTTTTCATTTAGATCTAGTCCAACTTGTGCATGTGGTGTCCTATCTAAGGAACAATTTGTCTAACCCAAGATTAGGAAGATTTGCTCCTGTTTTCTTTGAAGAGTTTTATAGTTTTAGCCTTTACACTTAGGTCTATGATGTATTTTCAGTTAAGTTTTGTATATGATGTGACCCTTCCCTTTTAAGGACCTTGCTGGGAATTGCCCACTCTGCTTTCATTCACTGGCCAGAACTTAGTTACATGGCCATACCCATCATCTCTCTGAGGCTGGGAACTGTGTATTTCAGGCATCCGATATTAAATTTTGCAGGTTGTAAGCCTATTCAGCCATAATCTTAGTATAAACAAGTCAGTTCTAGTGCTTCGTTTTTCAAATAAACTTATTTGGTGACTTTTACCCACGAGGATTTAGCAGGAGCGTTTAGCGCCAACCGCGGCTGGCTTTCACTCCCTCGGGGACATGCCCCAAGGAAAACGGTCCTCGGGGACTTCCTGGCCTTTCCCCCGAAGAGAATCTGGGCTCTTGGCGTTTTTCCCTTGGGAAATGAAGCGGCAGGCTTCGCGGCTTCCCGGTTGCCCGCGCGTTGCCCGCGGCGGCGGTGCGGCCCTTCGCCCCCCCGCGCCCCCGCCCGGGAGCCGCCCTCTCCGCGGAGCCCGGACGCCGGCCGGGCGATAACTGCGGCGGGCCCGCCGCGGTCGGAGCTGCGGCGCGATGGCGGCGTCCGCTGGAGGGAGCCCGGCCCCGGCAGTGGAGGCGCCGGCGCCCCAGCTGGAGGCGCCCACCGTGGAGCCCGGCTCGGTGAGCGCGGAGCGGGGGGCGAGGGGAGCTGGGGCTGAGCAAGGCGGACGGACGGGGCGCTGGGCTCCCGCGCGGGCACCCAGAGGGCAGCCCTCTATCCAGCCAGGGGCAGCGCGGGGGGCCCAGCGCCCGAGCCCTCGGGCTTTTGAACTGCCTCGGTTGGCAGCTGAGGATATTCGGGAGCCGGAGAGCAGGATGGGAAGCTGAGTCCTAGACAAGTGAAGAAACTTGCTGGGTTCATTCACCTAGTCAGGCAGGGCCAGGGCCAGTCTCTGGTCTCCTGATTCCCAGTCTAGGGCTCTCGTCCACCGCACTCCAGGTCTTCCCGGAGGCCCCCTGAACCCCGGGGAAGGTCGCACTTTAAGTCGTGCGCCAGGAGGCTTCCCCCATTCCGGGCAGGTGGTGTGGGCTTAGCACCCTCTCAAACCCCGGCCTGTCCAGGTACCAGGCTCTGCTTTGGGAGACTGCCCCGCGATGTCCTTCCTGGCAGCCAGGCCAGGGGTGAGGGTGGAGGGCATGTGGCAACCCAGGGGATGGGGCAAGGGTGGCTGGCTGTGTTGGAGAGGAGTTAGGACCTCTGAGCTTTCTGCTGAACGCTAAAATCCACCCCCACTCCGTGTGACCGCGCTCATTGTGGCTTCACTTCACTGCCTCAGTTCCCTATGTCCACTCAGGCCTTCCTTTCAGGCGCCTCAGGGCAAAGGGTTGTGGCCCCAACAGAGAAACCCAGATAAGGAGTCTCTCATTTCCCAGTGAAATTTAGAAATTCAGAGTGAGATGAATGGCAAGAGGGAAAACTGACATTGCCAATGAAGTGCCAGCGTTGATTCTCAACAACCCTGGGGTGTGTTATCCCGATTTCACATGTGAGGAAACTGAAGCTTAGCCGTCTTAAGTACCTGGCCTTGGGTGGCACAGCTGGAAATGGCAGACACGGAATTTGAATCCAGGTCCGTCTAACTCTAAAGTGGACAAGCAGGTAAAACTGTCATCCTCAAGATTCCGAGATTGTATCATGCACCGAGTTTCAGCTGGAATTTGTTTTTCTGTCTTTCGAGTGCCTTCTATGTGCCAGAAACTTTTGCTAGGTGTGTTTAAGGGGAAATAAGAGTCCCCTTATGGGGCTGGAGGAAGGGCTGTAAGTTGGATTCTGCCTGGTGTTCAGGTTTTCTGGAAGTTGAAATAGTGTTCACACAAATGTCAGAAACGGAGACCACACCCTGCCTCGTGTGTGCTTTTCTTCTGTGGGTAGGAAGCGTGTGCTAAGGATGTGATAAACCCTTATCTGGGAAGACCTTCCCTTCAAAAGAGCCCGTTTGGGGTGTCCTGCAAGATACCAAAGGGGGTGAAGCCAGAGTCCTCTCCACTCTCCCACCCCCAAGCAAAGACTGAAAAAGAAGGATTCCCAGCATCTTTGGAAGAAATAGAACTTTACACAGTGTCTTCATGGCATTTATTCCCTCAACAAATATATATTGAGCATCTGCTCTACACCAAGTGTTATTCTACGTACTGGGGACACAGTGGTGAATAAAAGTTATAGTTCATGCTCTCTCAGAGAGCTTATATTCTGGTGGAGAAGGGCAGGAAATAAATAAGAACATACCAGGTAGTAACTACAATTGAGAGAGACTTGGGTGCTCAGAGAAGGCCATTTAGGCTTAGACCTGAATGACAAGGAGTCAGCTCTGCAAAGACCTGGAGAAAGAACCTTCCAGAGAGAAGGAACAGGAAGTGCAAAGGCCCTGAGGCAGCAACAGGACGTGCAAAGGTCCCGAGGCGGCGACAGGCATGGTCATTTTGAGGAATAGGAAGGAGGCTGCCATTATGGTTGAGGAGAGCTATCTGAAGTGAGGTAGAAAAGAGAGTGGGGACCAACTAGGTGGGCTCTTGTAGGCTATATGGTAAGGACTTGCAGTTTTATTCAAACCGTAATGGCAAGCTGTTGGAGAGTTTTAAGCAGAGAGGAGACACGATCTGCTTTATGTGATGAAAAGGTACTTTGGCTGCTGGATGGAGAGTGGATAGTAGGGAAAGAGAGCAGAAGCAGGGAAGCCCCTTAGGAGTCCTCACTGATGGATGAGACAGGGGATGGGGAAGAGGAATCAAGGGCGTCTCCTAGGTTTGTGGCCTGAGCTCCTGAGTGGACACTGGGGCCATTTAACACAATGGGGACAACAGGGTTAGGAGCTGGTCTAGACAATGGGGTGGAAGTCAGGAGCCGTGTTTTGACCACTCTAAGCTGAAAAATGCCTGATAGGCAACCATGTGGGGCTGTGAGTAGGCAGTCGAATATTCCATTCTGGAGTCTGGTGAATAGCTTAGGGCTCATGCTGTACAAACATTTGGGGATCATAGACATTGGTTCATTTCAGTGGTGGGCTGGTAAACAGTCTCTAGGGAGGAAAGAAAAAGGAAAAGAAGCTCTGGTTTGTAATGTTTGCTGATTTCTGTGGTGTAGATACTCTCACCATGGCTGATTTCAGGCTGCCAGTGGTTCAACAGCTGGCTTGAAAAGTCCTGCTCCCGGAGCCATTGCCTCATTTGCTCATCAAAACAACCCTGCGAAGTTGGCGGGAATAGTCCATTTGACAGATGAGACAGAGAGAGAAAGTGATTTATTCGAGGTCACACGGGGAGTTGGTGGCAAAGAAAGGGCTCAAGCCGAGGTGTCCTGACCCCCAGTTCACTCTTGCTTGCTGGCTCAGAAAATAAAATACTGTAGCAGGAAGCACTGAGGGGGCGAGATAAGGAAGAACTTCCCCCTGCAAACATTTAGAGGTCATGGTTTAGATTTTTTTTTTTTTTTCTATTTTCTGTCTCACTTCCCTTTAAGATGATTTGGGGCAAATTAGGACTGAGAGGTTTCTAGAAAAGCCCTCAAGACATAGGGATCTCAGGATGCTTATGGAAGTCGGGGGGTGGGGAGCTGTTGTGTGTCTGTGGGGGTGAGGGCTTAGCTCCTGTGTCTCCCCCAGGACAACAGAGCTGGTCGTCTCTCATTCTGTACTAAAGTGTGCTACGGCGTTGGCGGGGTCCCCAACCAGGTGGCCTCCAGCGCCACAGCCTTCTACCTGCAGCTCTTCCTGCTAGACGTGGCACAGGTGAGTGTGGGCAGCAGCCCAGGAAGCCCCGTTCCCATCTTCCATGGTGTCTGGTCCTTCCACCCCACCATCCTCAATAGAGAGCACTTCTGACTCGAGCCTGACGAAAAGCCAAATGGTATTGAGGGCAGCCTCCTCAAGGATGTTTATTATAGGCTGTTTGTAGTGGGAAAATGGGAAACAATGTGAATGCCCAACAATATAGAAGCAGTTGGATAATAACTTGTGCTGTATCAATATAATGGACTATTATGTAGCCATTCAAAGGAATGAATTAGAGCTATACCAGCTGACCTGGAGGGATTTCCATGATGCACTATCAAGAGAGAAAAGTTTGGGCCGGCCCCATGGCTTAGCGGTTAAGTGTGCGGCTCCGCTGCTGGCGGCCCGGGTTCGGATCCCGGGCGCGCACCGACGCACCGCTTCTCCGACCATGCTGAGGCCGCATCCCACATACAGCAACTAGAAGGATGTGCAGCTATGGCATACAACTATCTACTTGGGCTTTGGGGGAAAAATAAATAAATAAATAAAATTTAAAAAAAAAAAAAGAGAGAAAAGTTAGTTTTACAGAAGAGTCTGTAAAATGATCCCATTTTAGCAAAACAAAGACATGCCCCTTATATGTATGTGTGTGACCATATGTGTGTATGTGTCTGTACATGATTAAAAATGAGCATGGAGAGAATTACAGAAGGATATACACCAGGCTGTTAATGCTGGCTATAGAAGAATGGTAGAGGATAGAGGGTAAGAAAAAAAGAAATTTTTAATAAGGTATCCATGATTTTTTAAAATGACACTGATATGGTTGCATTTACGTAAAATTATAAATTGCAAATGCACATAAATGCATGAAAGGATGATCATCAAAATGCTTCTGACAGTTGTCTCAGGATGGTGGGATTTCACATGAGCTTTGCTCAATATTTTTCTGTACTGTTTGAATGTTTTCATAATGAGTGTATCATTTATGTAATCAGAAAAATCAATAAAACATTTTAATTGTGAAACAAAAAGTGTACCTCTGACTGTCAGCCTAGGTGCATCCTTCTTGCACTGAGCTACCCCAGATGAGGGTCCCTCCAGTCTTCTCCAGAAGTGACGGGGCATGAGTAACAGTGGGAATGTGCCAGTGTGCAGCTGTCGGCTCCCTCCCCCTGCCCCTTTCTTCACTAGTACAAATGTGCCCCAAGAACCATCTGGATTAGTGCCCTGGGGAGGAGGCCAGTAGACCTTTACACCATGGCACTGCCCCTGGCCAAATTTCCAGATCTCCCTCCTGAGGGGCGAACAGCCTGCACTCTCTGACTCTGCCAGGGCTTGGCTGTCCCCTTCCCTGTCCCTTTCAGATCCCTGCTGCCCAGGTGTCACTTGTCCTGTTTGGAGGGAAGGTGTCTGGGGCAGCTGCCGACCCCGTGGCTGGGTTCTTCATCAACAGAAGCAGGAGGACAGGGTCTGGACGACTCATGCCCTGGTGAGCAGCCCCACGGTCCTTGGGATCCTGGCACCCACCCCTGGCCTGAGGTCACTGTGTTTGTCACAGCCCTGCTTCTTAGTGGAAAACCCTGTGGATGGTTAGAGGACAAGACTGGACAGTAGGGGACTGGGAACTGGACTAGGTCAGAGTGAGTCATGCAGGAGTTCAGACACATTCTTGGAGATTCTCCCTCATCAGACGGCACAGGGCTGGACAAAGCCTCCAAGATTCCTAGGCCTGGCCGGGGGCCTAAGTGTGGCCAGGGTGGGCCGGAGGTCTTGGAGAGTCTCACGGAGGAGATACGGCTTGCTCGTGCTCCAAGGTCCTTGATACAGGGAATGGCACCAGTGAGCACCCAAGGGCCTCAGCCAGAGTCCTGCAGCGAATGGCCCCCCACCCCTGGCTACCTCCACATCCCACTGGTCACTTCTTCCCCTCTGTGGCTGCCGCCCTGAGAGCCCCAGCCCAGGGCTTCTCCAGGGGCAAAGGGCTATGCCCAGAGGGGTGAGGCTGCTCCAGGCCCACCTTTTGCATCCCCTGTCCGGGTGCTGCGCGAGCCCCACCTCCTCCGCGCTTCTGCAGGGTCCTGGGCTGCACGCCCTTAGTTGCCTTGGCCTACTTCTTCCTGTGGTTCCTGCCCCCCTTCACCAGCCTGCGAGGCCTCTGGTACACGACCTCCTACTGCCTGTTCCAGGCCCTGGCAACGGTAAGCAGGCGGCCCCCCTTCCTGTGCCTGAAGTGTGTGTGTGGCAGGGGTAGGTGTCCCAGAGGGGCCCACTGCCCCCACCTGCTCCCCAGCGCCTGGCAATCTACCATTAGCTCCTCTGGCCCGCTGGTCTCTGGGCTGGGTGCCCTTCCTGCCCTCAGCCCCTAACTCTGAGCTTGAGGGGATCCGAGGGGTGTGCCAGCCCAGCGCAGTGGCCAGGCAGGGACAGGGCGGCTGTGGGCCCTAGCCTCGGGAGCTGGGGAGCCCTGGTGGGCTTCCGGGCGGAGGAGGCCATGCTAAGCTCCGCCCGGGCGCCCCAGTTCTTCCAGGTGCCCTACACGGCGCTCACCATGCTGCTGACCCCCAGCCCGAGGGAGCGGGACTCGGCCACCGCGTACCGTGAGTGCGGGCGGGGGCGTGGGGGGCGGGATGCCGCTGCCGGGGCGGCGAGCTCCTCACCTCCCCCGCTCTGTCCCAGGGATGACCATGGAGATGGCGGGGACGCTGATGGGAGCCGCCGCCCACGGACTCATCGTGTCGGGCGCCCACGGGCCCCACAGGTGCGAGGACGCCGCGCTCCCCGGGCCGGTCGCCGTCTCCCCCGACGCGGTGAGTGCCCTGCGGGGCTCCCTCTTCTAGGGCCGCTGCTCCCCCAGTCTCTTCGCCGTCGTTTTGGGGCGCAGCTCTGCACACTGCGCCTTTCATTCCTTCCCTGCTCCTCCGGCTGAGCCGAGGACCCCGCGTCCTTCTGCCAACTCTGTTCCTCCGCCTGGGTGCCTTCTAAACTAAGGGAAAACAGCAGATCCCAGGCCATCTGCAGGGGAGGAGGCGGACTCCAGAGAAGGGACGGGGATGGGGAAGGGCCACAGGCAGGGGCAGGGGACAGGAGCAGCGGGACGGTTTGGTGTCCTTGCAGAGCTCTGGGTAAAGCCCCTCCTATGACCTGTCTCCCCCAACCCCACCCCACCCCCAGTGTGAACCGAGAAGGGAAACCGGGAGCTTTCTCTCCCCTCAGAGCAGATCTCCCTTCAGCAATGAGGGGACATGCATCTATGTTATCCATTAAGTTCATCTTCAATTTCCCCCCCTTTTACTTAAGCAAATGACATCACTATCCCCCAGAACACTGGGAGTCATCTCTTCCTCCTCCCTTCTCCCAACTCTCCACTCCAACCTATTACCAAGTCCTGTCCATGTTTTAGGCCAAATATCTCTGGAGTCAGTGCACTGCTCTGCATCCCACTGCCACATCCTGGATCCTGCCACCATCATCTCTCCCGCTGCCCTGACTACTGCATCAGCCCCCTGCACAGTGTGGCTGCCTCCAGCCTTTCCCCCAGCACAGTCAGGGCGACCTTGAACAGGAGTTCAGGGCTGGCACAGGTTGCCCCTCTCCAGGCTTGGAATTGTGAGCCTGTCCTCAGTGTTCTCTGCACCCTTCTGTGTTGGCATTCTTGTTTGTTTGCTAGTTTCTGAGTTAATAAGTATTTCAGATTTACAAAAAGGTATAAAGCTGTGGTTCTCAAAGAGTAGTCCCGGGACCAGTAGCATCAGCATCACGTGCACATTCTTGGACCCGACCCAAGCCCTACCGATTCACAGATTCTGGGGATGGGGCCCAGCAATCCATATTTGAACAAGCCCTCCAGGGGATTCTAACCCCCACCAACCTTTGAGACTCAATGGTATGAGAATAATACCACCAACACACATGGCCCACTGCCTGCTTAAGATGACATTGCAGTGAAGTCCTTGTGTACCCATCCGCAGACCCATCTGCAGGGCCAGCTACAGAATTTGCCTATGTACAGTGCAAAATGAAAGTGCAGAGCCCCCGAGAGCATGGGGAAGTCAATCTCCCCTTCCCACGGCCCACTGCCCCGACCAAGAGATTGCCTGGATCCAGGTGGGTGAGAGGCCCCTCCCAGTTGCCCTCAGAACCCATCATGTGCTGCCAGGCTAGGGTGTGCCCTGGCCTTGTCCTCCTAGACCCACCCTCCCTGCGTCCGTGCCCAGGCCCCACTCAGGCCTCTACAAGCCCCCCCCAAAGCTACTGGGTGGCTCTGGGTGGGGGTGGAATGGAGGGTGGTAGAGGCCTTGGGTTGGAGAGGTAGGGGCCTGGGGTGCCAAGAAGAGGGGAGCAGGAGGCTGAGAAGCTGCTCCCTGGAGGCAGAGCCTGGTGTGAGCCAAGGTGCAAAGCATTCAGGTACCTCTTGGTGGCTCCAGCTCTGTTTTCCCATAGACTTGACTTACAAAACACAAATTCATAGATAAAATCATCAAGAATTTCAAGAAAGCACCAGCAGAGCATTAAGCTCCAAATGCAGTGCTCTTCTGAATGTGGGGCCCTGTGCAACAGTGTTGGACCCACACCGGTGAAGCCCTGCCCATCTCCCTCTTCCTCCCCTCGCCAGAGGAAACCTCTATCCTGAACTGGGTGACTGTTGCTCCCATGCATGTCTTTGTATGGGTTGTATGTATCTTCCCCTGAATGACAGGCAGCACCGTTTCCGTCTGAGACATTTCTCTGGGTGGTCGTGTGTGGCACTGTGCTGTAACTGTCTGCTCATGGATTTGTCTTCCTCCCGCACTCAGAGCCCCTTCTTGTGGATGCACAGGAGTCACTTATTCATCACTGTAACCTCAGGGTCTAGCATGGAGAAGTCAGCAGCAATGAATGTTTGCTTAAAAAAATGAGAGAGAGAAGGCTTAGACCCCTGGTGGCATGGATGTATGCAGGAGGCACAGGGTCAGCAGAAAGAACATTCTGGGCCCTTAAATCTCTCCTGCTGGGTGATTGGGAGGAGGGGCACCCATCATCCATGGGCTTGGGCTGAGGGTCCCTCTCCTTCCATTGGGAGGCACTCCTGCCCTGCCCCTGGGTGTCCCCACCTCCATGGATTGGAGACATCACCCCCACCCCAGTTCTGTCCTGTCCCGCAGACTCGTCTCTACTCCATTGCAGCCGCCGTGGTTGCTCTGACTTACCCCGTGTGCAGTAGTTTGCTCTACCTGGGCGTGAAGGAGCGACCAGGTATGGGGGTGCGGTCAGAGTGTGAGAAGCAGAAGCTGGGGGCAGGGCTCCTCTTGGGTGAGGGCTTTGGTTTTGAACTCTGCCAAGCCAAGAGGCCACCTTCCTGTGTTGCAGACCCCTCCTCCCCCGCCTCCGGCCAGGGCCTGGGCTTCCTGGCTGGGCTGGGCCTCACTGTCCGGCACCCACCCTACCTGAAGCTGGTGATCTCTTTCCTGTTCATCTCGGCAGCCGTTCAGGTACCTCTGGCCAGGCCGATCCCCACTGGCTTAGCTCCAGCCATACTGGCCCTGTGTCGGTTCAGGTTCAGTCTCTTGGCCCCACCGCACACAAGTAGGCTTGAGTTTTAATAGGGAGAAACCAGTGGCTGGCACGTGGCCCGGAGAGGCTGGTGCTGGGAGGAGAGAAACCTAGATAGAGCTTGTGGGATTGGGGAGGGTCGGGGCCCAGACATTAGGAAGCTGACAGTGTCTGGGGTGGTAAAGTCCACCCCATCTTAGCTGTGCAGGGGCGGGTGGGCTGGGAATGGTGTTTATACCTGTGTCACGATAAGTGTCCTTTGTGGGAGAGGGGAATGCATGATGGTGGCAGCACTTCGAAGTCCCAAAGGGAGGCCAGGCTTGAGAACTAGGCCTTGCCCTTGACTTCCAAGTTCTTGCTGTTCCCTGTACACGCCCACTTCCTGTCGGCCTCAGGTGGAGCAGAGCTACCTGGTCCTGTTCTGTACACACGCCTCCCGGCTACACGACCACGTCCAGGGCCTGGTGCTAACCATCCTGGTGAGAGGACCTGGGGTGGCAGGGGCAAGGTCACTCGGGGGCCTGAGTTGGGGACATGTGTGGCCAGAGTTCTGATGGTCCTGGGCATGACATGTGTGGCCAGAGTTCTGATGGTCAACATTCTGGACTCTGCTGTGGTCTTAGTCTCCTGCATTCCAGCAGAGGGTGGAACTGGGGCCAGGGTCATACAGGTCATAGCCACTGGTTCCAACCAGGGGCAAGATCCAGGTCGGGCCTTCCTCCTAAAAGCCAGGGCTTTGAGAACCTGGGTGAAGGCACTGGCCGACGGCCCAGCTGTGATGATTCTGTCTGCTCACAGGTCTCGGCTGTGGTGAGCACCCCATTGTGGGAGTGGGTTCTGCAGCGATTTGGGAAGAGGATGTCAGCCTTCGGGATCTGTGTGAGTGAGGCAGGAAGCCAGGCCTGGACTGGCTGCAGGGGAGGTAGTGGGGGTGGGGCAGGGAGGTGACCTTGGAGCCTGAGCTTCCTGGGGGCTGGCAGGGCTGGATCTGTATTCACTTGTGACTTCAGTGCCTAGCACAGGACAGGGCATAGAGGGGTGGGGGTGTCATTGGTAAACACCAGTGAGTATGTGAATGAAAGAGCAGGTGAGGGGGCAGGTGGAGGGAGCAGCTGGTGTGTCTGTCTCCCCAGGTGATGGTGCCTTTTGCAATCCTGTTGGCCGCTGTGCCCACAGCACCCGTAGCATACGTCGTGGCCTTTGGATCTGGCGTGAGCATTGCTGTATCCTTGCTGCTACCCTGGTAGGCTGAGTGAGGGGGAGGGGGTGTGGGAGCTTCATGTCCTTCCTAATGGGTATGCCCTCTTTCACGTCAACCTGTTGTCCCAGGCCCCCATTCCCAGCCTGTGCTGGGGAGGGGCGCTCCCACTTGCAGGAGATGGAGGCCACTAGCTCCATCCTTGGAGCCCTCCTAAAACAGCACCAGATGACAAGAACGGTGGGTAGTGGTGTGCGGCACGGGGATTCAACCACACATATTCCCTGGCTTTAGGTGGGCCAGTCCTGGTCCTGGGCAGCAGGGACCCAGGGATGAATCTGACTTGAACCCTGTCTTCAGAAAGCTCACAGGCTGGTGGCTGTCAAGGGGATAAAGGGATAATTCTGCAGTCCCCACCCCCAGGTCCATGCTTCCAGATGTGGTGGATGACTTCCAGCTGCAGCACCAGCATGGGCCAGGCCTGGAGACCATCTTCTACTCATCCTATGTCTTCTTTACCAAGCTTTCAGGCGCAGGCGCCCTGGGCATCTCCACTCTCAGTCTGGAGTGAGTCCCAGAGCTGGGCTGTACCAGAGGCATAAAAGACTAGTGGGGTGGGAAGAAGAGGGCAGAGTCCTCCACCCGAGCTAGCCAGGGGCCACCCATAGGGTCCAAGCTCTGCTCTTTGGAGAGTGTGGCAGAACCACCTGCCCCAGGGTTCTCTGTGCACATGACTGAGAGGGGCCTTTCTTGGGGCTGTATCCCTTCTGAAACCTCAGCTCCCCACCTTCTCAGTTCTCTCTGAATTCCTCCCTGGCCAGCCCATTCTCTCAACACTCCCTTCCACCATAGTTAGGCTGATCTGGCCAGGAAATGAATCCAAGTTTCAGGATAGTGTGGGGGTGGGGAATCTGGGACCCCCTCCCCCAGGAAGCCATGCTCGGTAGAATCTGAGCTGGACGCACGGGATGGTGTTTCTCCAGGTTCGCGGGGTATGAGGCAGGAGCCTGCAAACAGGCGGAGCAGGTGGTGGTGACCCTCAAGGTCCTCATTGGTGCTGTGCCCACCTGCATGATCCTCACTGGTCTCTGCATCCTCATGGTCGGCGCCACTCTAAAGGAGCCAAGCCAGGACACTTCTCGCCCACTGAGCCTTCGGAGGTGGGCATACGGGTACACACAGTAGGGCCACCAACACTCAGGGAGGCACACTGACGTGCATCGGTGTGGGATTGACCATGCAGTCTGCCGGCCTCCCTGTGGGATTTACACAGTTGAACAGTTCTGCCTTTGGAGACTCTTTCATTAGCTTCAGTGAGGTCATCTTCTCCTGGATTTTCTTCTACTACTCTGGTTAACCCTGCTCAGTGTCCTTCCTTTGGTTACCTGTTGGGTGGTGGTGTGGTAGGGCTCCCTTCTTGACCCCTGTTCCTTTTGCTCTCCATAACCCCAGGCTCCTCATCTACTTGCATGACCCCGAGCACCTCTTGTGCCTGGTGACTCATAAAGCTGCCCCTCCCCACCACACTTCCTTCAAGTTCCAGATCTACATGTCTGGCTCTCATATGGACATCTCCACCTGATGTCCCACAATGTGGCAATCAGTCTTAATGAGCCACAAACTGAACTCTTCTTCTTCCCTTGACTGGCTCCTCCCCCTGTGCCCTGTTTCAGTGAATGGCACTATCCTCCAGCCTGGGAGCTGAATCCCGGGGGTCGTCTTCCGGTCTTCCCCCAACAGGCTGCGCTGAGCAGTTCCCTGAACCTTGTCCTTCCCCCTTCCAGAGCACCAATCCCACTGCACGAGGACGATCTGCTCACTGACTGGCTTTCCCGGGAGACTGTGGGGACTTTGAAGGCTGTGGCTGCGTTTGATTCATTTTTGTGTCCCAAGAGCCCAGCACAGAGCCTGAGGCCAAGCAGGTGCTTCAGTGACAACGTTTGGTGCCGCGGACTTTCACGAGCAGTGCCCACATTTTTACTGATGCTCACACACTTACAGATATGAGCACATGTACATACAGAGGACTACACAGGGCAGGCAGGAAGTGGCATCGTCCCAGGTCCCTCACTGCTCAGTGTGGATGGCCTCAGACTCTTCAGCCACTAACACCAAGCTCCTGCGTTAATCTCAGGGAATGAAACATGGCTGGGGCCGTGCCTGATGGGCCTGGGAGCAACAGGGTTGTGGCTTTATACACGGGTTGTGAAGGGGAGGAGTTGCTAGGAAGACAAGGAACTGACACTTCCATAGGGGTCTGTGGCAGGACAGAGACCCCACTCCACGCTCGTCCTTCTCTTTGGCTTCTTCCCCTCCTGCAGGAGGACCAGCTACAGCCTCGCTTGAAGTGTGCGACTTCTGTGAGCCGGAACTGCAGGAGCCAGCGTCTTCTCAGCCCCTTAGCCCCTCTACTTTGCAGTTTACACATGGCCTGTATTTTCCCCTGGGATATGGAGTCCTCACTGATGTCTCCTGAAGAGACTGGCCTGGGAGGATCTCCATCTGTCATTTCTTGCCTGCTGACCACAGACCATCTCAGATAGGCCGGTGCCCCTGCCTACCCAGCTCCAGGCAACCTTTGACCTGGAAAGCATCCCACTAGCAACTATTCCTGGAAAAAGGAAGCCCCTACCAGCCTGGCCTGAAGACTCCCCGTGGGAGCACCTGGCGGGACAACCTGCTCACCTGACAGGACAGACACACAGACCTCTTGTTCCTTCTGATGCTGCAGTAGACATCTGAGAGAGAGGCTGACAGACACCACATGAATGGGCAGAGTGGGGACAGGTGGACGTGCTGGGGATGTCCGGTTAGGAGAGACACAGACAGATGCGGTGAGGCCAAGAGACCCCAGAGGGAGTGAAAGGGACAGCAGTGGGAATGAGAAGACTGAGCAGGGCATGAGAGGTGCTTCTCAAGCCTTTCCCTTTCTTCAGATAAGTTGACAACACTCTGTTTCTAGAAGTGGACACAGACTGATATCGAGCCACCAAAGATCAATCATTGTTATGAACAAAAGTTATTTTTGTGGAAATATTTTTCTGAAATTTTATTTTATAAAAGCACAGGAAGGAACTACAGTTTTCTAGAGGCCGTGTGAGAGGCAGGTTCCTTTTTTCCTTTGGAAGAGACAAAAACTTGAGACTCTAGAGTGGTCCAGGGAAGCAGGCCACGGTGGCTCGTGTGGGTTGTGGCCTGCGGAGGAGTTAGGGAACCCATGGGGGCCCCGATGCCCCAGCAAATCGTCCTAGAGGAGCCCAGACATCTAAAGGGGGGACCAGGAGATGCAGACTTATCCCCCTGCATTTCTCCTCAGCGCCCAGCTCTGTCCCCTCCATGGGGTCAGCTCTCCTGAGCCCACCACCCAGGGCGAGGCCCCCTTCCACTTCCTCTTTAGACCTCTGGCTGCCTCCTAGGTGCGAGACTCACACTCGGACAGGCTATGCCCCTCAGAGCTTAAAGCATCTCGCTTCCTCCACGTACACGGTAGCTCGAGAAGGAACCTGACCTCAGAGTGAGAGGGCAGAGTGTGACCTGGTCTGTCTGGTGCCTGAACTCTCTGGCCCTTGTGACACTGACATGGGTATCTGATCCTTGAGATCACAGCTTCTTGTCACTGATTCAGGAAGGGGCCGACCCGAAGCACTGCTCACCCCACGCTGTGCGCGCGCGTGCACACACACACACACACACACACAAAGAACAGTTTCTTAACGCTGGAAAATCACTGGCTATGTGGAGACAGCACCTGGTAAGACAGAAGGCAAGGTACCAAGTTATCCTATTATGCCTTGTTTGGAAACCTGGGCAATGCAGGTAGGATCAGAAGCTTGTGCCACATTTTAGGTTACTTATCTTTCCGGGGAGTGCAGTCTCAAGGAGCAGAGCTATACTAGACAAGGACAGCTGCACGGGGCCACCTCTAGGGGTCAGGGGTTAGATCTCAGAGACAGGAGGCCACCATGGGGTGGCCAAAAGGTATTATTCCATTTCTTCCTCACAGCAGCCCTATGAAGCGGGTACTATTATTCTTGTTTTCAGATGAGGACACTGGCTTAGAGAGATTAAGCAACTTGCCTCAGGTCAGTTGGTGGTGGACATGGTCTTGCATCCAAGTCGACCTGACTCCAAAGCTTTGTGGAAAGAGCCAGTGCTAGAACATGTGTTGGAGGAATGGCTGATCCCAGACTTCGGGATCACCAGGACCACTCCTCCTCTGAAACCAAACCAGCATCCCTGCCCCTGACTCTCTGCTCTGATTCCACTGTAATTCCCGTTATTGCTACTCGCCCACCTTTGGTTCACATTTGCCCACTAAGCCCTCCCCACATGCCACATCGCTCTTCTGACATCCAACCTCAGAGCCCCTCCTCCTGTTTCAGAGGAAAAGGATCTCTCCCTCCCTCTCCACTGCCTTTTTCATTGCCACTTAAATCCAGGAGATCATGCTCTTCACTTGCTCAAGACCCTCTCAGTCCCACCCTTGCATCCCATCAACTTAGTCCCTAGGATGGCCTCAAGGTCACTGCTCAGTGTCACTTCCTGCTTCCCTGCTCACCCACCACTCCCTTCCCCAACCCTGGCACTCGGAGCTCTACCTGCTTGGCCTGGATTTAGTAGTTCCTACCTCCGTACACAGTATATATTTATCAATGGCTTGTTTATTGCTTGACACCCCCACTAAAATGTAAACATCACGAGGGCAGGGACCTCGAGTTTTACCGCTATATCCTCAGTGTCCAGAAGTAAATGTTCAATATGAATAAATGTTTGCTGAATGAACAAGTGAATGTTCATATTGCCCTCATCCTAAAACAAACAAAACCAGCCTTTCCTTGTTCCCTTAGTGTCCTCTTCTCCCCCTGCCTGCTGCCACCAGAGCCTTGTCTCCTCGCCCTCACCTGCCATTCCCTCCTTAGCCCAGTAAACCCGGCCTCTTCCTCCCCCTGGAGGAGGCAGCGCGGCCTGGCAGGGTGAACTCCAGCATTGGAGAAAGGGACATAGGAGTTTGTATGTTGCTTTCATCTTTTACATGTGTGATTACTCAACTTATTTAACAAATTTGAGCCTCCATTTCTTTTCTGAAAGAAATGTGTACACTATTACCTATATCTCAGGATGGCTTTGAGGATTAAGTGAGATAATACTTGGCCAAGGAAACCCTCGATGACTGGTAGCCATTAATGCTGACCACTCCTTTTCAAAACTCTGTCCTCCCTTGGCTTGCATGACACCACCCTCCTGGTTCTCCTCCACCATCTCTAACCATTCATTCTGTCTTTTCCTTTGTTTCTTCTTCCTTTGATGCCCTATAGTCATCTCGGGCTTCCCAGGGCCGTGTGATCTCATTCGCTATCACCACCTATATACCAACCACTCTATATCTAATCCTGAGCTCTCTGCTGACCTTCAGATCCACAGAGCTGAAGATCAGATGCCCATCTGAGTGTTCTTCCAGCATCATGCATCCAAAGTGGAACTCATCAGCTTCTCCCCACACTTGTTCTGCCTCCTGAATTTTCGGTAAATTACACTAGCGTATATCCATCACCAAAACCAAAAACTTGGTGTCTTCTTAGTTTCCTTTCTCTTCCATTGACTCCACCGCCCCATCCCCATATACACTGAGTGTGGATTATGGAACGGAAAGAAAGGATTGCAGCTTGTGGGTTATTATCAAATGTTAGAAGTTATCTGAAAGTGGACAAAAGTAACCCCAGATATGGATGAGTGTGGCTGATAACACACACGGTGAACTGACGTAGCCGCCTGCTAGACGTCTGAAATGCATTATGTGTGCACGCTTGCGTATTCCTATGGGAGTCAGTTCAGCTGGGTCCAGCTGTCTGTGTTCACCTACTGTTTCTAAAGGACAAAACTGGTGTATAAGCAGTAGGAAATTCATGTTATGCTCTAATTGTTCCCTAATATAGCAATTGTGTTATAACAAATTTGTTTTTAAAACAAGCATTATAATAGAACTGAGTGTATATGTATGTGGGTGTTAATATATAGAAATCCTAAATGGTACCATAAATATTAAAGGAATGAAATAAATATTTAAAAACATTCCCACAAAGAAAACAACAGACCCAAATGATTTTAACAAGTTCTATCAAACTTTCAATGGAAGATCATTCCTATCTTATGGAAACTTTTCCAGGGAATAGAAAAAGGCATATTCTGCAGCTCATTGTATCAGGCCAGAAAAAGCTTGATACCAACACCAGACAAGCAAAGTAAAAAAAGGACATTTACAGGCTAATCTTACTCATGAACATAGAAGCAAGAATCTGAAATGAAATATTGGAAAACTGAGTGTGACCATGGCTAAAACATAAATGCATCATGAACATACTGGATTTATTCCAAGAATACCAAATTTAACATCAGAAAAATCTATCAAGTGAGATTTACCACATTAACAGAGTAAAGGAGGAAAAAAATTATAATCTCAATAGATAAGAAATCATCATTTGATAAAAATCTAACACCCATTCATGATAACAGTAATTAGCAAACCAAGAAGAAAAGGAAAATTTTTTTTCTATGTGAGGAAGATTAGCCCTGAGCTGACATCTG